GTACTGGCTGGAACAACCGTTCCTCAAGGTCCTACCATGTCAGACAGGTCGGTTGAAGAGCGGTAAGACTAAAAGCAACAAACCCAAGGTCCGAAGGCGAAGTCGTACTGCTGACTGTACAGAGGTGTGACAGCAGTAAGGTGTTTCCTTCAGGCAACCAGCATGACAGCGATGCTGCCTTCCCACAAGGAGGGGTGGGGATAGAAAAGGTCGACCCTAAAAATGCACACCTCACCTTACCTCACAGATTTCCGTCTCCGGCGGTAAGGCCCATTTGAAGAACGAAGCTAATACGTCAAAAACCTTCCACGAAAAGGCCGTGCGCGACCGGCCTCAAGCAATTGTCCCTTGGGCACTGCGGTCACGCTCTCAGGTCACTGAGACCACCTCTAATCCAATTTCCTTCTCAGGTACCTCTAGAAGAACCCTTCCTTAGTATAGGCAACCGGGAAGTGATAACCGCCCTCATAACTCTAACAGCACTCGAGACCACTGTATTCATAATCAACCTTCCTCTTCAATTCCTATTATTCCTCCTACATCGACTTTCAACCCTAAACTTCCTCTTTCGGCTTCCTCCTCAAGTGTCACCATAGCCAACGATTCTAGTGCTCAAAACTCTGTCCCAGGTCTACTGAAACCTCGCTCCAAACTACACATTGGAGCCTTCAACGTACGCACTCTATGTCAAATCGGTCAGCAAGCTTCCTTGGCTAAAACCCTAGAGTCTCTTTCCATTGATGCATGCTGTGTCTCTGAAACACGCATACAGGATTCCAGTGTGGTCATTCACTTGACCTCACCTCGGCAAAACGGAGAGCCAACGAGATACACCCTCCGTGTATCTGGTGACCCGATGGCCAGTTCTCGTGGACTGGCAGGAGTAGGCATAGCACTAAGCATGAGGGCGGAACAAGCACTGCTAGAGTGGATCCCCGTCAACAGTCGTCTATGTGCTGTTCAGTTAAACGGCTCCGTAAGAACTCGGAAGGATAGTGTTGTAGATGCGGAGGAATAGACCAATGATTATCATGTTGAGTCCAATGGTGTCCTTGGACTATAAATGGATATTTCCTATTGGTCGATATCTGTTCACTTGTTGAATATTGTACAAAATGTTGTTTTCTATTTTTATGGTACGATGTGGTATGCTTGATTGGTATATAAACAAAGTATGTTTGAAATATAATGATTCATATCTCAGAGGTTGTGAGTTGTGTTCTGGTCTTAACTGACTGGGCTAGACAGGGAAGCGAGACCAATCGAGACTCTAGGCCGTCCGTTCGTGTTTACGTGTCACTGTAATCGATCGATAAGTACGCTGCTCTCTAATTTTCCAGACAAGGACACAACAATTAGCACAGGGTAAAAATCGACAGCAACCTAAAGTCATAACAGATAGGGATACACGTCGTTGCCTTTTCGTCGTTTCTGCCTACGCTCCCACTGACTGCAGCTCAGATGATGTGAAAGATGAATTTTACAGAAAGCTTTCTGAACTTCTTCAGAAAGCTAAATGGTCAGACATAGTACTCATAGGGGGTGACTTTAATGCTCAGATAGGCAGTTTAAACCAGACAGAAAGGCATTTAGGTGGATATTTTAGCATTCCAGCACAGCGAACAGATAATGGTGATCGTCTGCTGCAACTGTGCTCAGACAATCGTTTATTTTTATCAAGCACAAATTTTAAGCATAAGGAGAGACATCGTCTAACATGGCGACCCTCTACACTAAACCAACGATGGACTCAAATAGACCATATTGCCATCAGTCATCGTTGGGGAGGGTCGGTAGAAGATTGCCGCTCATTCTGTAGTACCCCCTTGGACTCCGACCAAGCCTCAATACGGGCACGCATCTGCTTGCGCCTCACTGGACGCAAAAAAGCCACAGTAAAAAGACCCATTAGGACTGATTTGAGTAGCGAGTAAACCAAAAGTAGGTTCCAGGAACAACTGAGGTCACGATTAGGTAGTTCTGAAAACGAGGTTGACCCAGTTGTTGCTTGGAAAGCCATACAAACAGCTGTGGAAACAGCAGTGACATCTATCAGTGATTTAAACCAAAGGGTTACAAAGAACCAATGGATTTCTTCAAAGTCTATCACACTGATGGATTCTCGCAAACTCGTCCTATCAGGTTCCGAACATGATGGAGAGCGACAACAAATCAGATCTAGGTTAAGAAAAAGTCTAAGAAACGACCGTGAGCAGTGGTGGGCAATGAAAGCAAAAGAGATGGAAAAGGCGGCGACTATAGGGAACACAAGACAGCTTTACAGACTAATAAAAGAAACTGGAATTAATAAGTCAAGTGTAAGTGAGATTATATCGGAAAAAGACGATACTCTCATCTCCTCCCAGTCCAGACGTTTAGAACGATGGGCAGAACATTTCAGAGAACAGTTCAACTGGCCTTCAGCTACTCTACAAATACCCTCCATTCCCAGACAGTGTGAATGGAACATTGAAGTAGGTCCCCCAACTCTTGCTGAAGTTCAAAAGGCTATAGTTAATCTGAAACGAGGAAGGGCAGATGGTCCAGATGGACTGGCTCCAGAAGTCTTTAAGGATGGTGGTCCAATTTTAGCGATTAGGTTGACTAATATTTTAGCTAAGATCTGGGAGTTAGACGTTATCCCATCTAACTGGTCACAATCACTCATCGTCCCAATATATAAGAAAGGGTCAAAATCATCCTGTGACAACCACAGAGGGATTAGTTTAACTAATATAATATCCAAAATACTAGCCTCGATGATTATCAGACGCCTAACTAAGACACGTGAACTGCAAACACGAGAGAACCAAGCTGGCTTCAGACCTGGTCTTGGCTGCATCGGCCACATATTCACCATTCGTCAGATTCTAGAACACAGGCATACCTATCGGCGTCCGACAATGGTGGTCTTTCTTGACTTAAAAGCAGCATTTGACTCTGTAGACCGCGAGATTCTGTGGCAGTGTCTGTCACTGAAAGGCGTACCACAGAAGTACATAAACCTTGTGAAGGCTCTTTACTCGAACACTACTAGTCGAGTCAGAGCTTATGGCGAACTTTCATCTACTTTTACAACCTCAAGTGGTGTCCGTTAAGGCTGTCCACTTTCCCCATTTTTGTTTAACTTCATCATAGACCTACTGATGGAAATAACCACAGATGTCTTAGAAATATTGCTGGCGTCTGCTGGGATCACTGGGTAAGTAATAGTGAGGTTAGACGTAGGGTATTAGGGAATGATGGTAAATCAGTTGATGAGGTTATGAATCTTCACCGGCTGAGATGGTTGAGCCACGTGTTACGTATGCCTGAACACCGACTACCACGACGTGCAATGCTATCCGGTATTGGAGATGGTTGGAAGAAAGTTAGGGGCGGCCAAACCAAAACGTGGCATCAGTGCTTGAAGTCACTAACTTCTAGTCTGAGCCATGTTGGTAGATGCAGACTACTTGTTTGGGGTCCGCGTGACTATCGTAACCAATGGTTGGAGACTCTTGGTGACATGGCTCAGAATCGATATCAATGGCGTCGGTATATACACTCCCTGTCTTCTCTTAAACTAAGAGATTAAAATCTCTTCATATTTTTCTTTCTACGAACTAACTCTTTCTTCCTGTACTATATCTCTATATGCAATATTTCTCTTATATATTACCACCTTTGACCTAACCACTGCTGTGAATCCGGTGTTCATCTTGTTGTGCTGATGCGGTATGGCAACCTGGACCGATGCACATACGTGCCTGGTCCTACGTTGTAGCTGACTGACTGACTGACTGCGTTCACGCTCTCGGGTCACTGAGACCATCTCTAATCCAATTTCCTTTTCAGGTACCTTCAAAAGAACCCTTCAACGGTGTAGGCAACCGGGAAGTGATAACCGCCCTCATAACTCTAACAGCACTCAAGACCACTGTATTTATAATTAACCTCCCTCTTCAATTCCTATTATTCCTCTCTAGTTGCTTTGTTACTGACCATACAAATAGATGAATCAGAATACAACCAACGCTGATTAATTACATTTGGGCTACAAATAACGGAAATATTATTTGGCGTTTTAAACCACTAGTCAACCAAACAGTGGTATGGAATGGAGTTGTTTGTTGAGATATAGCAGACGTATCTCAAATCCCACCAAATACTTGATAACCCAGGTTTTCTGATTTGTGATGTTCAGGACAATGGATCACACTGGTTATAACAGTATATGTTCAAAATACCTTGAGGCGATTCGAAGTACGGAAAAAGGTTAGGAACAAAAATAGCCGTCTTACAACAAGTCCAAGTCGCTGGCTCTTTCCACAAGTAGTGTAACCCGGCTTTCTTGGTAGCAGTAGACTACATTGGCAAACAAATAAGGGTTAAAAAGTACGTTTCACAACAACGATAAGTTAAACACTCACTATATATCACACAAACAGCAGGTAATGGAATTGTAAAATGAAACAGTATTCATGGTCAGTACACTCTTTTGAGCCAAAACCGACTCATTAGATGTAACTGGAGAAGTAATAATAATTAATCTGAACCTGTGCCGCTACGTAAACCCAACAGAAATAAACAAGGCAACTTTCCGCTCCACTCTTGTGAATATACGAAGCATAACACATAGTAAGTAGGTGAGTCGCAATTATTTTGCAGACCGGATAAACATGGAACAGAATTTAATTATAAACTGGCTTTGTATATTTTGTTACAATCAACAGGCATGAATGCTGGATAACAAAGTTAAAAAGCCGACTGATTATAATAATTTATTCTTAATAAATATAAGTTACATGAGGCATGCCCTGTCTTAGTATCAAGACAAAAATAAATGGTAAGTATTTCCGTGGAATGGATTGTCTTGTTGGTAAACAAAAAGTATGATCGTTAAAGAAACAAGTAGTCAATAGAAGTAGCAATTTAAGGTCCTGAGGAAGAATTAGGAGGGGAATGTACGTTTTGGAGACCGGAAAATCAAGTTTAGACAATTCAGAGAACAGTGAGGATCAAATTAAATCACATTTCCTCCTCTTCTTCTTCGCTGAATTCAAGGCGGCTCGAGTAGCTGCTACAAAAACATCGCTGACACCTTCCTTGGTCTTAGCTAGAGAAAGCTAGACAATAAGTAAAGACAGTACCTGAACACTCAAAGAACGCATAAGCATTAATATTTTCAGCCATTTCTTTACCCTCATTAAAAGTGACGGGAAGTTGCTTGGTTCTATGAAGCTCATTCTTCGTAGCCTCATCATGTCGTAAGTCTTTTTTGTTTCCAACTAAGATAATGGGGACATCAGGACAAAAATGCCGGATCTATAATAGGATTTATGAACTCGTGGTATCTACTTCTGGCAACCATTTTTCAGGAATGTTTTCGAAACTATCAGGAGAATCAATACTATAACACAATAGAACTACATCCGTATCAGGATAAGAAAGTGGCCGTAATCTATCATAATCTTCTTGGCCAGCAGTGTCCCAAAGAGCTAATTCAACCTGCCACATATAATAAGTACACATACACCTACTTGTCTGTTATCAACTTCGATATCTGCAACATAGTTCTCGAATACAGTAGGAACATATACTTTGGGAAATTGGTCTTTGCTGAATACAATAAGTAAACAAGTTTTTCCGCATGCACCATCTCCAACAATAACAAGTTTCTTGCGTACAGCACTCGCCATTGTTTCGGACCAAAACACCCGAACAGACCGCGAGTGCTCAATTTCGGTTTCAGTTTTGAGAGTGTGAGGCTATAAGTTTTGGAGTTGTATCACACCTGAATAGTATGTTTGATGGATAAAGAAGGTGAGTGAATGCTTAAAATGGGTGAACCTCGCCCTCACCCACCACTGTGAGGATGTCTTCGATATTCAGCACCTTCCCCCACTAGTGAACAGTGATCACGTTGTAATTCACTTTAAGTTTAAAACACATGGTATACAATTCGTATCTGCTCCACCCCATCCCAATACTTGGCGAGCCAATATTCCGGCAATCAGAAATTGTGCTATCTCGACTGATTGGTCGGTCGACGCGGATGGATTGATCGAAGATGAATGGAATAAGTTTAAGGCTACATTCGAGTCCGTAGAATCGCAGTTTAACCCATGGTCAGCACGTAAGCTATCACACTGCCCTCCATGGATTAATAAAGAAACCCGGAAGCTGTTAAAGCGTAGGAAACACTTCTGGGACTTGTTCTTGTTGACAGGTCATGAACCATTTAAGCGTGAGTACAGAAAATTACGTAATATATGTAAGAAAACCATAGTCAAATCCCGTATCACTTACGAACGAAAGTTAGTATACGATAGACGTACTTGTCCGAAACTATTGTTTTCGTATGTTAAACGGCGAGTGAAACGTAGTGATGGTATCCCTCCGTTACTGTTACACGAAAATTCAAATTTACCAGCTGAGTCAGAACGAGCAAAGGCTGAAACTTTTTCAAACTATTTTAGCAAAGTCTACTTTACGTTTGTTGTAACAAATACTTGTCCCACTCACACCGAGATACCAACCATTGAATCGGTACAGGTGACTGAGGAAACTGTCCTTCCGTTGATAACTAACCTCAAACCTGGTAAGATACAGGGCCCTGACGGGTTAAATCCACGACTGCTGTCATCTCTTGCGGAAATTATTTCAAAACCGCTCGCGACATTCTTCAACATGTCCCTTTCACTCGCTCAACTCCCTACAGATTGGAAGGACGCTATAGTCAGTCTTATATTTAAGGACGGTCAGAGACAGATCGTATGTAACCATCGGCCTGTTAGTCTATCTAGCATTGTCGTTAAGTTGCTTGAAAAGATAATTCGGGTTAGGTTGCTAAGCCACGTAGATTCACACAACCTATTAGCTCCTGAGCAACATGGATTTCGTAACAAGCGTTCATGCTTGACTAACTTACTTATTGCGAGGGAGGATTGGACAGCAGCCCTAGATAACGATCTGTCGGTCGATGTGATATTCACAGATTTTAGCAAAGGATTTGACAAGGTTTCACACTTAGGTCTTATGCAGAAGCTCACGAGCTTCGGAATGATAGATACTGTACAGGAGTGGATAGGTAACTTCTTATGTGACCGCAAACAGAGAGTGAGGGTCAACGTAACGCTATCCGATTGGAAGCCGGTCAAAAGTGGTGTACCCCAAGGCACCATCATAGGCCCTCTGTTCTTTCTTCTCTACGTTAATGAGTTACCGCTGTTGCTTAGGTCATCGACATTATTGTTTGCGGATGATGTGAAGATCTGGAGAACAATAAAAAGTGCGGCTGATCATCTGGATCTTCAAGCTGACTTAGACGATTTAGTTAGATGAACTCGATAGTTAGGCTTAGAAATCAATGCTAGGAAGAGTGTGCTAATGCACATCGGTCACGGTAATAGTTACCGTTACACTATTGAGGGTAAACCTCTTCCATGCGTTCAAGAGCATAAAGACTTAGGAGTGGTAGTAAGTCATGACTTAAAAACAACTACGCATTGCGAAACAGCAGCTGTCAAAGGTTTTCGTGCGTTATGCTCACTTCGCCGAGCGTTCAAATCTTTTGAAGATGAAATTTTTCGAATTTTATACCCCACCTACGTAAGACCACATTTAGAGTACTGTATCCAAGCAGCTAGCCCGTGTCTGGTAAAGGATACTAACTCCCTTGAGCGTGCCCAGCGTGTGTGATCGAAGTTAGCGAAGGGTCTTTCTAGACTCCCTTACGGTGAGCGTATAAAACGCCTAAACCTTTTCCTCTTGTCGTTTCGTAGGACGCGAGGTGACATTATACTGCCATTTCGTATCTTTAATTGGGACTTGGGTGTTAATATCTCTTAACTTTTTGCTCCCTCCAGCACTAATAATCTCCGAGGTCATAGCAAGAAGGTTCATAAACCGTGATCTAATAAACTTAAAGTGAGGTCCCGTTTTTCTCATCGAGTAGTCAATGATTGGAACGCCTTACCCGAACAAGTGGTATCAGCCCCATCAGCGAATATTTTCAAAGAGAAACTGAAACTTCACTGGGAAGCAGTGTGTCAGGATCAATACAGGTTCATCAACCTACTATTCTTATTACTGAAGACTGAAGACTGAAGAAGAAGCTCCCACTTAACAGGCTTCCGTATCTAGTAGCAGCTGATCACCAAATCCTCCAGGCAGGAACTTAGGTATGTTAACATTAAAATGGGAAAAGAAATTAATAAATCATAACGCGATACTATCCTTAGTCCTTAAGAATAGATCAAGTTGCCTCTTAAAGGATTCCTAGGGAGTCGCTCGGCCGGCAGAGAATTCCAACATTTGACAACTCCTAAGGAGTAGAATTTGTGTCTACAGTTCGTTATGCTATGTTGTGTCTTCAATTTCTGGATGTTACCCCTTAGATTAGTGTTGGAACTTAGATTAAGTAGGTGTTTAAGAGGATGTCCAGAAGTGTTAAGGATACTGTAAGCCATTAGAAGGTCACCTCTAAGACGCCTATACTCTAATGGGTAAAGGTTAAGTGATTTGAGACGCTCTTCGTAAGGTTTAAATTTGAGTCCTCGAACTGATTTCGTGGCTCGCCGTTGGATGCGCTCCAGAGTGTCCTTGTCCTTTTGGAGTGAGGGAGGAAATACTATTTTTCCGTACTCTAAATGGGGACGGATAAAACTATTGAAGAATATACGGAAAGTTCTTCCGTCAAACTGCCCAAAAATGCGCTTCAATGTTACCAGTGCAAGGCTTGCTCGAAAGGCATTTTTGCCACAGTTAACATAAGACTTTAAATCGTAGGGCACCAGGACTCCCAAATCTTTTTCGACTTGGGATATCACTAGAGAGGACTTTCCTAAGTTGTAACTGTAGTTTGCGACATGTCGCAGATGAACTACTTTACACTTTGAAGTTTTGAAGGTAAGTCCGTTATCATCTGCCCAACTATGAAGTCGAGTCAGATCCTCCTGAAGTACTTGTATATCGTCTTGGTTGCGTTTCTCTCTCCAAAGTCTCATGTTGTCGGCAAAAAGTCTGACGTTACCTGTTGAGGAAGATCATTTATGTAGATCAAGAAGAGAAGATGCACGAGTACTGAGCCCTGGGGGACCCCACTAGGACATTCCATAGCCTGAGATAAAGTGGAATTAACCCTGACCTTAAAGTGTAGATTTTTCAGGTATGAAGTGAGCCAATCAATTAGAGGTGGTCCGATACCCAATCGTTTGAGCTTACTGATAAGACATGTGTGGTTAACTTTATCAAAAGCTTTTGAGAATTCTAAGTAAATGATATCAACCTTCCCCTTGCGATCGAGGATGCTTGTCCATCTGTCTGCTGCAGTCAGCAGGTTGGTTATATGAGAGTAACCCTTCCTGAAACCATGCTGTTGGGGTGAGAATAAATTTAAGGATAGTAAATAGTCATTTATACCATTGCATATCAAGGACTCCATGATATTTGAAGGTATTGAGAGAAGAGCCACCGGTCGGTAACTTGAAGGTTCGCTGCGTCGACCTCCTTTGAAAATTGGTGTGATGTGAGCCAGCTTCCAATTTTTCTGTAGTTTGCCTCGGCTTAGCGAGTGTGAGAACATCACGCTGAGCGGCGTTGTCAGGATTGAGACTGCTTTCCTCAGTATGGCAGAATGGACTATATCCGGGCCAGGAGAGTTGTCTATTCTTAAGTGCTGCGGTTTGCGGAACACCAAGTCAGCGCTCAGGTTCACTTCGGAAAGTCCTGTGCAGTTGCAAATGGAGCTGTCATCAGTATAGTTGATGTGGGTCGGTTGAAATGTTCGAGAGTATTGTTCAGTCAAAAGGGTAGCGGCGTGGCCGTCGTTGTTGGTCGAGCCGTTAGGACTTAGTAGTTGGGAAACTCCAGTTTTAGCTTGACGAAGAGAAGCCTCATAACGGAATAAGCTTTTCGGATTAGAGACAAATTTGTCCATAATCTTTATTTTGTACTGAAGCCTTTGTTGTCTTATAGCCTTCGTGCATATGTTCCTTATATGTTTGTATTACCTGTACGCGCCGTTGTTGTCAGTTCTTTTGTACTTTGCCCAACAGTGCCTTTTGCGGCTTAGCAGGCGAGAAGAGTGCGGTTCTCGATGATTGTGGGTTGCTGATAGCTGTGGACGACCGTTTGCGGAACTGAATGATTTGCGGCACATAAGAGCGTGTGCAGTAAGAAGTCCCAATGACCGTCCACATCAAGTTGGGGATGAACATCCTAAACCACCTGTTGTAGATAGTCGTGTACAGCTAGCACATTCAACCGTTTAAAATTCCAACGCAAGATATTGGTGGGGTATCTTAGCTAAGTTTTGCTGACAAAACTGAAGGCTATGACGGCATAGTCGCTTTTTCCCAGGGGAGCCAGGATTGAAAGGTTGTCAACTAGGAATTCTTCGTTTGTAAATACACAGTCTAAGCGCGACAGTGTCTGACTGTTTCTCCAACGAGTTGCTGACTTCACATTTTTGTATAATCCCAAGTCCTCAATGAGGTTGAAGAACCGAGCTTCAATTGAGTTGTCGCCTCCAGTATACGTGTGTTCCGCGAAGTTGACTCTTGGGAGATTCAAGTCCCATAGAATCAGGATGTATGTGAAACCGAGACAAATAGAGCGGGATAGTCCTTCCAGCAAACGACTGCCATACTCGATGTCAGCAGTGGGCTTCCTATATATGACTCCGACTAGACACCTC